AGTAGCGCCAGGGGGAGGAGGCGGGGCTCACGAGGCGCGAGACCAGCGCGGAGGGCAGAAGCGGCGACGCGCGCGCCCCCGCCATGACAGTCATTCACTACCGTGGGGGGGAGGAGGCGATAGCCAATCAACAGCGAGGCGAGAGGGAACTAGCCAATCAGGACGGGGGAGGGAAGACGGCATCTGATTGGGTGAGTAGGTGGCGTGTGAGGATTAGTACATCCTGGAGACTCCTGAGCATAAGCATGGTGATGGATCACCTTATCAGACGGGGGCGGGGCGAGAGGAGAGACACCCCTCCCCCCCAGGGGAGGAGGCAGTAGGTCACAAGGGCGCACAGGGCTCTCCAGGGTCTGGCCTCTGCCCTCTGCCCGAGGGTGTCACGTGAGTCCTCCCGGAAGTGACGAGTGTGACACTGCCTCTGCTGGTGTCAAGAGTCGGGGTAGCCGTGTTAGTCTGTATCTACAAAAACAACAAGGAGTCTGGTGGCACCTTAAAGACTAACAGATTTATTTGGGCATAAGCTTTCGTGAGTAAAAACCTCACTTCATCCGAAGAAGTGAGGTTTTTGAGGTTTTTACTCACGAAAGCTTATGCCCAAATACATCTGTTAGTCTTTAAGGTGCCACCAGACTCCTTGTTGTTTTTGCCTCTGCTGGGGCTGCGGCTGGTGCGTGAGCAGTTATGTAGCTGCCCTGGAAGTTACCTTGTTACGGGCTGTGGCTAGGCCCCGGTCAACAGGAACTGACAGAAAACCTGTTTTCCCCAGACCAGGAAGGTTCACCTGGCTGGCTGTTGGCGTGGAATTTCAGGATTGTGTGTTTCACAACGGGGCTCTGCTCACCAGCCTGAACTGGATGCTAAGGAAGGCTTGTGGAAACTTCAAAGAGGAAACAGTAAAAGGAAGAACTAACCAGTGGGGGAGGGAACCCTAGCTTGAGATGCGCATCAAAGGTTTCATGTAGTTGGGGGACAAAGAAGACACCCTGGCATCCTTCACCTACGACACTGGTTTTTAACCTGTGGACCCCGCAGTCTATACCTAAGATTTCCAAAGGGTTCTGCACCTCCATTAGACATTTTTAGGGGGTCTGCAAATGAAAAAAGGTTGAAACCCACGGATCTAGGAAGTAAACCATATGTTTACTTCATGAAAGAGAGGTGTCAACCAGTGTTGGCAGAAAATTTTGGAAAGAACTCTGCGTGAAAGCAGATCCTTTAGACAGGAGGATAGTTTGTTAGTCAAGATTAGTCTCTAAAAAGTGTGTTATGATTTTGGTTTATAGGTAACCATTTGTTTCCAATATTCTTACAATCACTTGGATCTCTGTTCTTTGACAATAAACTTATTCTTGGTTTCATTATAAATATATCTCTGTGCTGTGGTGTTAAGCAAAGTGGTGATCCTGAGTTGAATCTTACAAACTGGTGTGCACTGCCGTTCGTTTGGGAATAGCAGGCCTGGCAATTTTGTGAGTGTTCAGTGGATAAGGGGCTGGACACTGCCAGGAATGCTCCAAGGACTTGGGGCTGTACTTATCGCTACCTGTACAGCAAGAGGGAGGCCTGAAAGGCACTGCTTGTACTGCCAGAGGCTGGTGGTTTCAGGAAGGTGATCCACCACAGTCACTGACAAGACTTTCTCACACTAAAGGCAGGTGGTGGTGAGTGTTACAAGCCCAGGGCCGGCACTTCCATTTAGGCGACCTAGGCGGTTGCCTAGGGTGCCAAGATTTGGGGGGGCGGCATTTTGCCGCCCTTAGCGGCAATTTGGCGGCGGGGGGTCCTTCCACGCTCTGGGTCTTCGGCGGCAATTCTGCAGCGGGTCCTTCACTCGCTCCAGGACCCGCCGCCGAAGTGCCCCGAAGACTGGGAGCGTGGAAGGACCCCTGCCTAGGGTGCCAAAAAACCCTGGCGCTGCTCCTGTACAAACCCTCTCTGTTTTACTGAGATGAAAGCAGATGCTCCTCTCCATAGAGGAATGGGGAATTTGGCTTCCCATTGATGTGGAGGGAAAGGTGGTGCTCCTCCCTTCCCTGGCACCAGGGTGGTTGGATGCCATTTTATGGGACAGGACAAGATGCCCCTTCGTTGGGGAAGCTAGCACCCCCCACCCTGTTGATGGGAGAAAGCTGGTACGCCCATGTTAGCGGGTAGTGGGTAGCTAATGCTTGAGGGGATATATGGGGAAAGAATGAAGATCTATCAAAGGACCCAGAGTTACTATGCTGTTAATAACAGGTGAAGTTGCATTTGGCAATTAATTGAGTGCTCCTGTGTGTTTGGTAACTTCAGGCAGAGAGTGAGCTGGCATGGTGAAAGGAGGCAGATTGTAGGGAAGGCCTGTTTAAGGTATCTGCCCCTTTTACAGCTGGCCCTTTCTGTCTGGCTCTGGGGGTTTGGAGCATTGCCATGATGCAGATGTAGTTGCTATCTCCCCTCCTCCTCCCACCCACCCCCATGCTGGAGCAGGCTGCATATTGAACAAGGAGGCAGGTGTAGGATTGCTTTTGGTCTGATGTATGTGGGCTGCATTCATTTGTTTAGTACCTGTGAAGCAAGATTCAGGCTGTACATGCTGGCCAAAGACATTAAAGGAGCTGTGTCAACATGCTCATTTCCCCCCCTCCCCCATCCTCCCAGCTATTGTCAGGGATGTATTTGCCCTCCTTGTGGATCCCTTGGTCCTGTGCACTGGACCACTTTGGGGGTTTTGCACCCCTCCAAACAAAGTGGCAGCTATTCTTAGCGTCAATGTGCCCACTAATTTAACAAAACTCCTCCATTTTTAGATATGTTGCTACTCTCTATTAGATGATTAAAGGACCTGTTCACAGTGCTGTGTTGCTTGAATAGTTTAATAGAAAAGGGTGTTGAGAATGTACCTCAGCCTGTCGACTGGCCTTTGAACAGGCAAAACACACTGGCTATGCTTAAGGCTGCGAGTCTGTCACGGAGGTCATGGAAGTAACGGATTCCGTGACTTTCCGTGACCACCGTGACTTCTGCAGCGGCTGGCTCGGGGTCTCCTGAGCAGCTCGGGCAGCCGCACTGGCCGCTGCTGGGGCAGTCTGGAGCCATCGTGCCCCCCCAGTAGCAGCAGGAGTTTGGGTGTGGGAGGGGGCTCAGAGTTGGGGCAGGGGGTTGGGGCGCAGGAGGGGGCAAGGACTCCGGGCAGCGCTTACTTCGGGGCGGGCTCCCCGGAAGCGGCAACATGTCCCTTGGCTCCTAGTCAGAGGCGCGGCCAGACGGCTCTGCATGCTGCCTCTGCCTGCAGGCAGGGCCGTCCCTAGACATTTTGGTGCCCTACTCAGCCCCCCGGCCGGGGGTGGGATGGCCCCAGGCCTGTCAGGGAGGGGCAGAAGCAGACTTGGGGGATAGGGGGGAATGGTGTGTTATGCTTCCCACCGCCCGGTGAGTGCAGGGCAGGCTGGACCCCTTCTGCAGTCCTCAGGGGAGGGGGTGGAGTGCGGGTGTGGCTGGGGTGGGAGCAGGGGTGGGAATAGGCAGGGCTGGGGCAGAGCAGGGGTGAGGGTTATGGGGAAGAAGTGGAGCAGGGGCTAGAACAGCACGCAACTGCATAGAGCACCAGGAAATTTGGTGCCCCATATTTCCTTGTGCCCTAGGCAGCTGCGTTCTTTGTGTATGGGTAAGGATGGCCCTGCCTGCAGGTGCTGCCCCCACAGTTCCCATTGGCTGTGGTTCCAGGCCAATGGGAGCTGCAGAGCTGGCACTCTGGTTGGGGGCAGCGTGTGGAGCCCCCCTGGCCACGCCTCCGCCTAGGAGCCGAGGGACATATCGCTGCTTCCAGGGAGCCGCGCAGAGCCAGGTAGGGAGCCTGCCAAACCCCTCCCCCCAGGCAGCAGTGGGGGTCCTGGGCTGTGCGCTGCCCTCCCTAGCACCAGCGGGGCTCTTCTCCCCCCGCACCACCGAGCACCCAAGTTTTAGTTAGGGGTATATAGTACAAGTCAGGGACAGGTCAAGGGCTGTGAATTTTTGTTTACTGCCCGTGACCTGTCCATGACTTTTACAAAAAATACCCGTGATTAAAACATAGCCTTAGCAATGGAGCCTATCTTAGATACTTTGATCATACCTTTCCCTTTATTTTATCTTGTAATGTCTCATCTCTGAGAGCTGTGACAGTGATTTCCCATAATTTGCTTGATGTGTCAGAAGACTCTGCTGCATAAACCTCCCAGGACAGAAAAATGATATTGGTGAAAGCAACATTAGTGTTTTGGGATTCTCAAATTTCATGATTATTGGTAGGAAACTTATACTCCTCATTGACCACAGCTTCTTTGTCAGAATCCGCAGGCTCAGGACAGGGCTACCTCCACTGGCTGCCATGCTCCTCTAGATTTGGGCATCATTAGCATCAGCCTGCTTGTATGAAATGCAGTACATTTGAAGTTCTGCACTTGCAAATACAGCTATACTCTCCAAATTGCCTCCTCCAGAGGTGAAAGAGGTTCCTCCCTCAAAGTATCAGAGAATGTGAAGTATGGATCCAGATCCTAATTTTCCCCCAGAGTTTGGGCTCTTTCAGAACTAGGTTTTGCTCCATTTCTAGTTTTGAATTATCATTATGCTGAAGTGGTCTCACTTTTGAACATTACTTGCTGACAAACAAGAAGAAACAGGCTACCCACAGCTCTACTGTTGCTGTACATCGACAGGCTTGCTGCAACAAAACATTTGAAAAAACAGCCATCTGCTCCAAAATTCTCTTGTTTTTGCTCATATCCAATTAAGAGCAAGAAAGCATTATACTTATAATTTAACTATTTTAATTAATCTTAAACAGTGCATGGTTATATCATTTTATCCTTAGTTCAATTACATTCATGTACATTATAGTTTTATCTGCAGACAGTACAAATATATCAGATGCATAGCTCATTCATATGGATACTAAACCTATGATGTGATTTAGCATTTTAATAGATGCTGTCAGCTTTGGCAACAATTCTTTACAGAACTGTTGAATAGACTGCTAATATAAATCCAAATAGTTGTAATTGTGGGTGATTTTGTTTCCTTTATACATAAAGACAAAAATGGTGTGTTATGCTTCTTAGCTCACCTTTTGGTTTATTTTTGTTTTTTTAGAATTCATTTAACCCGCCATCCTTATACCGCTGTTACCATTTTCCAGTATTAATGCTTGCTTTCCCTCTACCCCAGTCAAAAACTGATGGTTCTCCAGAAGAATGATCTCCTTCATTCCTCCCCGAGCCAAACCAGTGCCCTTTTCAAATTCCAGCTACCTTGGTACGTAACTGCTGATATGGGAAAGAATATTATCCTCTCAATCTAGTGCCTTCTCTGCACTGATGATTTTCTCTAACTGTTGCTCTGTCATCATTTTAGCCCCACTGGTGCTAATGATGGCCTTGTCTAAGGCTTTATTTAAAAAAAAAAATCATCCATTTAGAAACATTTTACAAAAAACAAATAATGCATCGGTATTCTTTAATATAGAAACCAACTCCCGCACCTACTCTTCCATTTACAGGTACATACAGTTCAGTATAAAGAATCATTCTGTATTTGATTAAATATACAAGCATGGGCCCCCTTCCTGCAAAGGCTTATGCGCGTGTATTCCCACTGAAGTCAATGTGTGTAAACTCAGTGTAAAGTAAACACTAGTGTAAGTCTTTGCAAGATCAGGGCGAGAATTTCCATTAACATTAACCAAAGTTAACGTGGATAAAGGAGAGAACAGATTGACGTTACTCCAGTTTTATTACTACCATCTCAGACAATGAGCAGTACCTGTAAATTTATTTGTCCTTCCCACTCTGTAAGGCTGGTGAAAAAGTCAAGAAAAGGTGTATGTGTTCTGTTGACTGGAAATGTGCCAATTTCACTGTGCATGCTAAAATCCAGGAAATATATTTTATACTTGTTCTGATTTTTAAAATGTGTTACGAAATTATCACTTCACAATTACTTGATTATGTTACTTTGGGCAGGGACCTTGTCTTCGTCATTTATATATATATATATATATAATCTCAAAGCCTGTCAGTGCAATCTAGATATTTAACAGCATTAGGAAAAACAGGAAGTAAAGTACTAATAAATGTATTTGCTAAATTAAGTAATTTTTCAGACTTTTTTTTCCAAAGATTTTTTTAATTGTGTATGAAATTGCCATCCCAACTTCCATTTAATTTCCTAGATGTTCACTACTTGTGTCAGATTGTTATATTATTAAAGAAGGGCGCAGGGCTGCATGCATAGGGAATGGTTGTGTGTGTGTTTGTGTGTTTCAGATTGGGAGTAAGTTTTATGGGTTTATCTTCTGATTGTTGAAGTCTTGGGTTTGACAATACTGTGGTTTGCCAGTTGGGATCAATGCCAAGTCAAACTGCTGCATAGTCGCATTAGGCCCCATCCACTGGTAGCCATTGTGTGGGTGAATGTAGTTGGACACTGCTTTCCAACTGGCAAATTCAAATAATTTCAGGGTATTACTCACTGCTCTTTAGTGTTTAATTAAAACACTCCCTGCCCCTCAAAGAAAGCAGTAGCATTGTATATATGTTTAAACAGGGTGATCCAACCCTAAAATCTGTTACACACTATTGTAATTTCATTTTCAGGTACAGACAGGCCCAGCCCTTGTTTTAAAATCTTTAAGGCTTGAGAGGAGTGCAGGGGTAGAAGAGAGGGAGGAAACTTAACTGCTGCTGGGCCTTCATGAACAGGGAAACGCAGGATACTGTTGCTTAGTGTTTCTGCCACAGACAAGAAGGAAACAAGGGGGAAAAAAGCTCTAGTCTTTATGGTACAGAAACTCTAAGCATTCAAGCAGTCCTTTGTTGGGAGAATTATTTCTAGCCTTCTTTTTAGAGCTTTATCAAATCAATGGAGAGCCATATAGCAGTATATTATGAGGTTCTAGGTGTGTGTGTGTGTTTTTTGTTTTTGTTTTTTTTAACTTGAATCCAGCCTTGCCTCCTACATTTAGAATCCCATGAATTCAGATCCTGCTCATGCTCTGGACTGCATACACATAAAATTTCTGTATAAAATATATAGATATAAAAATAATATTTCATGCAATACTAAAACTTCTCTCCCAGCATGATAGCATATTGGTGAATGAGTATCCTCCTTATCAACAGTGTTCCAGGAATTGTCAGTTTCCTGGCAATTATACTGGTAGGTGATGGTCTCTGTAGTCTCTTTCATTTTGATCGGGGATCGGTGCTTGTTATTCCCTTTTTCTGCACTACTATGACTAATAGTTGAAAAAAGCAGAAAGAACTTTAAAGAGCAGAATCACTCCTCTCTTGACGACGTCTCATAATTTCTTGAAGCTCTGAATCCCCTCCGCATTTCTGGAATGGCAACAAAACATAAAGAGTTTGAACCTCAAAAAACGGCTTACAGCTTAACCTAAATAAGCGATATAGAATGCTGTCAAAGTGGAGCTGCTTTCAAGGAAATAGGATATAAGTTAATAGGCCAGATCTTTCCATTAAACTAGGTTGATTTGCACCAGCTGAGGATCTGGGCCAGTGTTTCTAAGTTGTAGTTTTCACAAGATTTCTATTGTTTTTATGCTAAAGCGAGTGTTCAGCAGGCCTCTTACCTGGGTTAATATAACTGTATTTCTTAAAATGCCTGTTTAATACAGCTTGCTAGTATTTTGTGCTACTGGGTTCCATACTAACAGGATTTTGTGGGAAAACTTCTTACCTCCAGGAGAGATTTTTGCACTGTAATTTTACTGTATACCCTGGCTCCTTCGTGACACACTTTCTTCAATTCCTCCTTATTCAGAGAGAAAAGCTGGGCCCCCGTAAGTATGCCAAGATGCTCCACGGTCCTAGAAAAACACAAGTAATGAAAGGCATGTGATACAAATGGGTCAGAAGAAGGAGAAAAATGGAGTGAGAAGTCTATGAAGGTTTACCCTATTACGGCAGTGTCCACTCAATGAGTAGTCAACACGAGATTAGGCTCTGTCTCCATATATATTTAATATTATTATGAAAAGTTAGCAGCCCATATTTAGTTATTATATACTTAATTATAATCTCTAGGTAAGAGGTGTTTAGGAATTACAGCCCAGACATGTGATCCAGTTCTAACCCTAGTTCTTATATTGACTCTCTGCAGTCTTGAGCAAGTCACTTGGGGCCAGATTTTTAAAGGTACTTAAGTGCCTAAAGATATAGATATGATCTAGTGAGATTTTCAAGAACTGCCTAAGCTATTAACTCCTATTGATATTAAATAGAGTTAGGCTCCTGAACTTTTTCAATATCCCACCAGGTGCCTCTCTGTCTCTATGCATCTAAATAACCTTTAAAAATCTGGCCCATAGCTTTTCAGTGCCCCAGTGTTCCCATCTGTAAAATAACTACTTTTGCAAAGTCCTTTGGGATTCTCAGCAGTAAGGTGTTTTCCTGTGAACTAACCCTGTCATCCAGGGTTGATCCTACTGGGAGATGCTAACTGGGTTCTGCTGACCACAGGTGGCTTGCTTGCTCCACCTTGGATATAATGGAGGTGGGAGTGCTCCCCTGAAGAGGTGGTGTAGAGACTGAACAGTCCTCAGGGAGGAACTTTAGGAGTAGCCACATCTAGAGAGAAGACACCGGCTGGTATTTGTGTTACATTGTCAGTAAAACAAACCCCTTGGGAGTAGTTCGGACTCTGTACTGGCTGTGCGTACTGTGTTAAGAGCAGGGTAGAAGTGTCACTTGCTCACAGGCTTTATAAATTAAACAAACATAAGCATCCTGTAATCCAATAAAAATGTCAAAAGCCTCCTTCTCCCCCCTTTCAATGAAAGTTCAGCATCTCACATAGCAGCTATGCAGATTTACCCTTTGCTGAAGGAATTTGCTTCCAGCCACGCTTTGACCTCTTCAGCGCTTGACTCAAACGTCAGGGGCACGGCAACTTGCTGAGGCTTCTCCACCTTAAAGTTTCTGTGGGGGGGCTGAACTTTACTAGTTGTGATCTTCTTCAGCAGCTCATCATTCACCTCATCCATATGATGGATAAGTTCTGGAAAACGGAGCACACTTTCAGGTTACAAATTAGAGACCGGGGTGAAATTCTGTCTTAAGTCACAACCAGTGAAAATCAGTGGGGTTGCATAAGGTGTAAGTAAAGGCAGAATTTGACTCTGCAGCTCTATTAACTCTCTGAAAAAACATGCTCGAGATAGGAAATCAGGAAAGCTTAATAATGTGGTTAACTTTAAAGAAGTGCTTTGCGGGACGGGTGAGACATGACATGACATTTTGACCAGGAAACCTGCTTCAGGAACAAAGTGTAAAGGAAACATTTTTAATGTGCCATCACTTTAGTAGTAACACGCTGAACCAACTGTAAGGTTTTCTCATGTCCCACAGGCCCCAAAGCTAGTGCCTGTCTTTTCAAATTCCTTTTTCAGCTTTTGAGGTCTGAAAACCTCCTTTCATGCCTTTAAATGCTATATTTCCACAATACCTCTTCGGAGGGAGGGAATGCAAAATAACAGCCAGACACAAGTCCTTGTAGCAGAGTTTTAGGCTGATTTTAGTTTTCAAAAAGCTAGTTGAGAACCAGTCATAGGGTGACTTGCTCTTAAGATAAGTGAGTGGTTGGGTGCAGGTATTGTGTCCATGAATCCTGCAATGCAAAATCTTAGCCTAAGTTCTAAAGCAACTCCTGGAGGGCTAATTGGAGAATCTTGGAATAGTTGTTGGTGATCCTGAGAGCAAGGAGACAGACAGCAGAGATGGCATTGTGTTATGTAGTTACTAGCTACCATATCAGGACTGGACAGTAATGACATATGGACATAGGGTAAATCCCTCCTCCTGTGTCTTACCTGTCTCAAACTAATACCTGAGGGATCTGTCTCTTTTTTTACATGGTGGTAGTAACTGAATGGTTGTGTATTCAGTTCTCATTGAAATGAATTGTTGTGATGGGATTTCTAGTTCACAAGATGATTGTCATTATTAAAGCTGTATAATTTCCAGCTGATGAAGAAACTCTTCTCTTTCATGGGGCACAATGGCAAACTTTATGGGGAACAATTAAGTTTTATTTCATAAGTGTGTATTCTAAGGGGCAGTATAAACCAAACCATCATTTGTAAGGTGTGAAAAAAATGAACACATACCCGTAGACCACCTTACTTTTAGCTGGCTGGAGCTTTACTTTACTAAAGTCAGAGCTGGTTGGGAAACTATTACTGAAAAGTGCTTGGTGGAAAATTCCAAAGAGCTGGGTGATTCCTTTTGGAGCCAGAAGTCCAGCATACTTTTAAAGTGATAAGAACAGGAGTACTTTTGGCACCTTAGAGACTAACAAATTTATTTGAGCATAAGCTTTCGTGGGCTACAGCCCACTTCATCGGATGCATAGAATGGAACACACAGAAAGAAGATATTTATACATACAGAGAACAGAATCTCAACAGTGTTGCGACCCTGCCTCATTGTGCCTCTTATGGCCAGGGCCGGTGCAAGGAAGTTTCATGCCCTAGGCGAAACTTCCACCCTGCGCCACCCCCGCATCCAGCTAATCCCCCTCCCCCCACCAGAGGAGCCTCCCCTCCTCCCCCCCGTGGCAGCTAACCCCGCCCGCCGCAGCAGCTAACCCAGCCAGCCCGCCGCCACCCCCACCCACCTGGGGAGCCCCGCCGCCCCCCTCCACCTGGGGAGCTCCCCCCAGCAGCTACCTCCCCTCTGCAGCTAACCCTGCCCGGGGAGCCCGCCCCAGCTCACCTCCACTCCACCTCCTCGCCCGAGTGGGCTTTTCAGTGCCCTCAACCACTAGGCGCCCTAGGTGGCCGCCTAGTTCGCCTAGTGGTTGCACCGGCCCTGCTTATGGCCACAGCCCTGGCAGGCCCTCTAGACCAGGATTTGTACAGGGAGTCTCGGAAAGCAGCTTCCTGGCTGTCTTCCATAGTGACTGCACTGGGGGAATCCTCCCCTGGCCAGAACCAGAGTTCTTACAGCCCCTGTGTGCTGCACTGGCCCTTTTATATGGCATAAAGAGGCCTGAGTAGGGGTGAAGATCTTTCCCCTTTTCTGCTGCCTATGTCATTTTAGGTACTTAAATATGGATTTAGGTGCATAGATTTAGGCCCATATACACAGTGACTAGGGAAACTAAGACAGATGAACAGTTTTAGAAAAGGAAATAAAGAAGGAGGGTGGTGAAGCACTGGAATGGGTTACCTAGGGAGGTAATCTCCTTATGGTGGAATCTCCTTCCTTAGAGGTTTTTAAGGTCTGGCTTGACAAAGCCCTGGTTGGGATGATTTAGTTGGGGATTTGGGGGTTGGACTAGATGACCTCCTGAGGTCCCTTCCAACCCTGGATATTCTATGATTCTAAGAAGAAATCCACTAGCACTCAGCACAAACAAAGGAAAGAACACACTGGTGGAAGCTTCTCAGTTTAAATCTAAGTTCCAGAACCGCAGTGCCAAGTTCTGTGGACTGTGTATTGTGAAACAATATCACATGTCTGAGTTGTGGTGAACGGTAAGATCCCTGATATTATGCACCTACGTTCTTTGGCATTGTGAGGAGAGTTGCCGGCTAACATTTCACTTCCCCATTTATCACCAGCATAGCTACCAGGAATCCTGTGAGTAGGGCTGGCAGGACCAATTCCTCTCGGACTCAAGTCTCCTCTGTACTTCTGGTTAGAATAAAAAATGGTTTTTATTAAGTAAAATATTTTTTCAGCATTATTAAATATTTGTCCCCCCACAACCATAGTAGATTAGAGCACAGTGGCCCAGGTCCTCAGCTGTTCTGTAAACTGGTCTAGCTCTATTGAAGTTAACATGTAATTATGAGAAACTGTACTTGACCAGCTTCCATTTAATTCTGTTTTACACCATCCAGTGAAATTGAATCAAGGATCTCCATGAGCCGAGGCATGAATATTCACATGCTATTGTCACCTGCTATCTCAGGTTGCTTGAAGGCCTCACCATTGTGTTGCGAAATCATGCCAAGCTAAATGTGATCATGCACTGTTGGCCCTGCAAAGCCCAAAGTTCATTGCTTATTAACTTGCCACAGAGCTTTTTAAAAGATACTAATTTACAGTGCTGCTAACTCTCAGTATTTTATCATGCACCTTGCAATAATGAATGATTTTCTGAAAGTCTCCACTCTAGCTGTCAAGTGATTTTGTGAGAATCTCTTTTTTTTAAATGAAAGGTTAGTCTCCTGCACTTATGACTGTGTTGAAAAGCCAGAAAATGTGACATGAGTGGCCCCTAAGGCTCAGAATCCATACGGCAAAGAAATTGTATGATATCTTTAATAGCTCATGATTTTTAAATCAATCTCACTCCACTCCAGTCTATCTCATCTTGCACTCCAGGGTTTTTGAATACCTGGGACTGACAATACTGAATTTATTGTCTCCCTGCCTGCCTGTAGGTGACCTTCCACTCCCATTTTAGATAAATAAGTCATCATTTACACTAGCTTGGCAAGAGCCTTTCATCAGTACATGAAGTTCTCAATGGCTTAGCCATGTAATCACAGACAAAAAATCGTTATGCTTAAAACTCAAAAGCATGTGAAATTCTTCTGCCACCCACTTGTAAGAGATGGGATTAGATGAGGTAGGCAGGTGGCAATTTGTGACTACTGACTGGCTAAGAATTGCATGCCTCCTATTATCTTTATTATCCTATTTCCACCAACCCTGACTCGCTTGTGTCACCCACCTGTTCAATCTTGTAAACTCTTTGGGACAGGGACTGTCATTTTACTATATATTTATACCGTGCCTAGCACAACGGAGCCCTGACATGGTTGCTCTTGTCAGGGGTGGCTCCAGGCACCAGCACAGCAAGCGCGTGCCTGGAGCGACAAGCCGCAAGGGGCGGTCTGCCGGTCGCTGTGAGGGCGGCAGTCAGGCGGCCTTTGTTGGCGTGCCTGCGGGAGGTCCACCGGTCCCGCGGTTTTGGCGGCAATTCGGCGGCGGGTACGCGGAAGCCACAGGACCAGCAGATCACCCGCAGAAACGCCGCCGAATCCGCGTGACCGCGGACCGCCCTCAGGCATGCCGCCAAAGGCCGCCTGACTGCTGTGGTTGGGGCGGCAAAAAACATAGAGCTGCCCCTGGCTCTCATGTTTACCATAATATAAAAGTTAATTAATAATTAGTAATAACAGAAAAGAGAACAGATGACCATGAGGGTATCTTGACAGGGGGTGACGTAATCTAGTGGTTAAGCCACAGGACTAGGAAGTTGGAGAGTTAGATGCTATTAGCAGCTTTGTCACTGACTTGGTGAGTGACCTCTTCCTTTCAGTGGGACTACTCACAGTAGTAAAGTTAAGCACCTGCATAAGTGTTTGCAGGATCGGGGCCTTAAGACCTGATTCTTAGAAGTTCTGAGTACCCACCACTCCAGGTCAAATCAATGGGAGCTGCAGGGGCTTAGTCCCCATTAAATCAGATCCTTAAACACCTTGGCCCAGATCCTTAATGGTATTTAGGCACCTAATTCCCACTGATTTCAATGAGAGTTGTGTGCCTAAATTCCTTTGAGAATCTGGGGCTTTGTGCCTGTTTCCTCATGTCATTATGCCTGTGATGGTCATGATAATGACCCACCCTCCCAGCAACATTACAAAGGCTAGTTCATTAACATCTCTAAATTATTTTGAGATCCTGGAATGGAGCCTAGAGATGTGCAAAATGTCTGCAAGCTGGTGGAGGGGGCTAGCTGACTCAGGAACAAAACCAAAGGCCTGATTCACTATTGCCCTGCAGCTTGCACAGGGATTTCAACCAGTGCACGGTGGTTGTGAAATGCCATTGAGTCACAGCTGGTAGCGTTTTACTCCCACATTGCAATGGAGTCAGTGACAACATAGTGCAGAGCAATGATGACTCAGGCCTTTTGCTAAGCGAGTATGGCTTCTCTGAGGTTTTTCTTGGTGGTGTGGGGCAGTGGTTCTCAACTAGGGGTCCGGGGCCCCTGAGCAGGTTTCAGGAGGGCCTCCAAGCAGGGCTAACATTAGACTCGCTGGGGCCCAGGGCAGAAAGTTGAAGCCCCACCGCGTGGGTCTGAAGCCCAGGTCCCTGAGCCCCGCCATCCAGGGCTGAAGCTGAAGCCTGAGCAATGTAGCTTCGCGGGGGCACCTGTGGCATGGGGCCCCAGGACATTGCCCTGATTGGTACCCCTGAACATTGGCCCTGGCTTTTATATGCAGAAAACCAGTTATTGTGGCACAGGTGGGCCGTGGAGTTTTTATAGTATATGGGGGGAGGGGAACTTAGAAAGAAAAAGGTTGAGAACCTCTGGTGTAGGGCACATCTATGAAAACGAAGAAACTACAGGATTGTACATAAAGAGAAAAATCCTGTCTCAAGCTATAACCTAATCCTCTAGCAACTGAGTGTGGGGCTGTATCTCCTCCCAGGGCCCAGAAGCTGTTTTCACAGAGGTTTCTGGCTTTCTGCTGAAAGCTTAATTGGGTCTTCATTGTGGAGCTTTACTTTATCACTCCACCCTCTACACCAGCTGTGAGGTGTCTAAATAGAGAATTAACTTCCTAATAATATTTAGTTGTGAGGACAGCACAACTCATAAAAACCTATACAGTCAGGGAGAGGGTGTATTAAGAGGTCTACAGGTATCTTCCCCCCACCCCCTTTTTTTTTAATGCCTACTGAAGCTAGCCATAAGCAGAGGCTGATTATGCACTGCAGCTGATCACCAATGAAACATCACCTGTTCATAATCTTCCAGTTTCACCACATCCAGGATGTTATAGGGGACATAACCAGCCTGCCCGCTCCGGTTTAGCAGTTTCCACCACTGCTTATTATCTTCCAACACCTGTGAGGGGAAAAAGTAATTCAGCTATTAAGACCATCAGGTATTCATGACACGTGCAAGGTAACAAAAATGTCACATCTTCACATGGGCTTGCAGTGGAAAAAGCACACATAATTATATGGGAGTTTTGTAATACAGGCAAGGAAATGGCAACAGATTCATGTAACATTAAATTCCAATGTCGTATTAATAAACACTCCCTGAAAAGGATTGATAAAACAATTGTAATAGTGGTCTATTGGGCAACAACGCTGAGGAAAAATGTATCTAGTGTCCTTAGGAACCCCTGGCTCCTGCTTAATTCGCATGTTGTTTTTTAAAGCTTTAGTTGATGAGAGAGATCATGGTGTCCAGAAATGCTTGCCTGGCTTTTGCATTAAAAAAAAAATGCTCTTCAACATGAATCCTGCCAGAGGTGGAAAAATGCCGGCAGGATTTTCATGTAACCTGATTACAGCCCATCCATTATATAAATAGGACAGGGAAAAGATCGTGTATTTTTATTAGAATATCTTCCTCTTCACGTCATCACCTGTCTCTTCTTACAGGCTTGTTCTATTTTGAACTCTGATTAAAAAATCGTGTGTGAAAACTGTCCTTAACCCAAAGATTTCTGAACCATATGCCTGTGTTTCAGTGTTTATTTGCATTAAAATTTTAATATAATTATATTTGAGAAACCAGGTTTTAAAATGTCAGTTTTTCTACACTACAAATTTGCTAACCCAACGTGATGCAACCGTACAATGATTCCAAATACATATTTAACGGACGTCTGTCTCTTAACCAATGTAGCCTTAACATGTAGACTAAAGTCATATCATGTATTTTGTGACAGCGAAGTGTGTCACAATGAGGAAGACTGGTGGTGGTTAAAAATTCTGTGTTACGTTTTAGTGGAAAATAGTCATAGTTCACCATCATACTGAAATTTAAGGCAGAAAGACCCTTCTTGCAGCAAACAATGAATTTTAGTGGGGCTACTCACATGCTTAAAGGTGAGCATATTAAGCAAAGGTTTAAGTGCTTTGCTGCATTCAGGCCAGAGTGCTCAGTGCTGCAAGGCTGAGCCCTGTGCTTGGAAATTGGGCTCAGTATGTTGTCAAACATTGTATTATAATGATATGGGTTTCTTTTCTTTGCTGCTGTTTTTTAAACCAGAGTTTGATCTCAAATCTCAGCTAAACCCATGTGCTAAGGCACTAGAAAAGTACCAGCCATCCTTTTCTTACTCCGATTTAAAGCTTACTATCTGAATGAAATGTCATGTTGCCAATCAGAACTTCCAGAGGAAAACTATTTGGGATTTTTCAGTCTCTTGGTGCATCTTCTTTCCCTCTCTAGAAAGCAGGGACTATAAAGATTTGCTCCTGAGTTTATTAATTTACCTCCAGGACTTCATCCTTCAGCACTGAGAGTTCATTGGCATTTCGAGCAGTGAAATCATAGCGGATTTTGGCATATTTCTTCGGCTGGGCCATCCCTTGTGCCTCGAAATTCCTTCAAGAGACAAAATGAGGTTATAATCAGGGCTCCTCTGACAGCCATGTCAATAATGCCAGTGCTGGAGGAACTGGTATTTGTAGTAACTATGTTAGCATGCAGCTAAAGAGACTGTAGATTGTTAATGGGGCAATGGCCCTGGACAAGTCGCATTTACTTGTGACCAGGAAGTGAACAGATTTTCATCACATTACAGTAAAAAGTCCTGCACAAGTGCAAAGTGCAGGCTCTTCAACCAATGACCAGTTCATAGCTGTGAGGTTGATGTAAGCAGACTCATACAAAAAGACAGTTTTGTTCTCCATTTAGTAGTTTCTATGCTGAAGTGAGGACTAAGGAAATGTTGTGGAGACACAGAAAACCCTTGAATGTACTGTACTGAAACACATTTATAGTAGCCAGCCAACCAGAGCATGTCAGCTGTTCATGCCATAAATCTGAGTAGACTTCATGGGCCTGATTCTATAGTGCCTTGGCACCCTGGGTAGCCGTTTACACATGTGCAAAATGGTTGTAAAACACTACCACCCTGCATGGGGTAAATGACTTCTCAAGATAGAAGCAGGCTCCTTATCTTGGGGAGGGGGAAGCTACCATGTTTAAATGGTGTAAACTAGAACCAGGAAGATGTTTTCTCTATGGATCTTCAGGTCTGTGTGGCTATGCTAGGGTTACCATATTTTGAGTGTCCAAAAAGAGGACACTCCACGGGGCCCCGGCCCCGCCCACACCCCCGCCCCAACTCCGCCCCCTCCCCTGCTTCCTGCGAACATTTGATTCGCGGGAAACCTGAAGCAGGTAAGGGGTGGGGGTTGGGGAGGAGGTGCGGCCCAGTCTGGCCCCCCCGGCGTCTCCAGCCTGGGTTGGCTCGGGCCCTGGGGTGCCGGCCCCGGGTCA